TCGGTTTCGCATCCGCGGATCCCCCTTCAAATAATCCTGGATCCGCCCCTTCCTATTATACATTTCTGTGTCACCCCAACCTGTACCAGTACTAATCAGACTTTCATTCCTAGAAGTGCGATTTTCTGTCAGACCGACACAACCGAGCTCTGGCATTAAAAACCGTACTAGAAATTACATGTTCAATGTACTAGTTCAATACTTACACGTTTCGCAGTATTTTCCAGTATATTTTCTAGGGCAGGTACACTTGTAACCGCCAGTTACTTCTTCACATGTGCCACCATTTTGACATGGTTTTGAATCACATTCACTGATGTCTACAAAACAAATGGCGACTTACTGTAATTATTGCATACGCACCCCAAAATGGTTTAACTTTCACCTCAACTTACACAAAACCAGTGTGACTGAAAGAAGTCAGCTAGAAACCGTAGTCTTTTTCCCATTACTCTGCACATGTAACATTCATCCTATATACATGCACATGTACTATTTCCATCTAGCCTTAACCTGTAGTTTTCAAATTGGACATCCCTTACAAACATCCATGTCACACCGACAAAAACGTTGTCTCTCATTGGATTCAAGTGTTTAATACCTACACGTTTCACAGTATTCCCCGGTGTAGTTTCTGTGACATTGACACTCGTAACGACCTAATTTTTCCACGCAAATGCCTCCGTGTAGACATTCACATGGACCTTCAACTGCAAAATAATAAAATAACGACCCAGTATATTTTTTTGAAAAGTTTACTGAATATACGAAAGAAGACCGAAAATGAAATAAAAACAAAACTACACTGTATTAACAATTATGAGATTCAGGAAGATGCGCAAAATTAGACCCCTGTTAGAGGTATTAGATGCTATAGATGCAATTTTTAAATCAAACAAAAATTACCGTTTTATACATTTTTCTTAATGTAAACAAATGTCACTTTAACTGCATTCAACTTGGTGTCAGTGAGTTTTGTGAGTATCGCAGGTTAAAGCCCCCTTTACACTGGACGCCCTCTTTTCTGCGTCCCGTAGTTCGTACCACCTTTGAGAGTAAACAAAAAAATGCTTGTGTCTCCTTTCTGCGATCACAGCGCTGTCAGTTTCAAGGTCACACAAAAAACGCCGTCCAGTGTAAAGGGGTTTAAATAAATAAAAATAACGAGCACCAAAAATGAAAAACAGTTTCGAAATTTGTTGCTTATTTATGTCAGGGGTAGTGGTGAAACAATTAAAATGACAGGGATACCTGGATGAATGGGATTATCTATTTATCCTACCTCTACCTGGAGGTACATTTTGATTAAATATTTAAAGGGATAATAACTCTTCGTTTTGGCCAAAAAATGAATTTTCCTGGAGTAAACAACAATTTTCCCATACTTATCAATGGTTAATGATTCCATTTTTATATTTAAAATTCGTCCCTGTTTTTTTGTCCCTGCTTTTTTTCTTTAATCTCTTAAGAGATTATAACAGAGTATAGCCATCAATGGAAGTCACGTGGTCTAAAGACAAGCTCAGATATCAGAATAATAGCTATAACTGCCGTTTTTGTGGTAAAACAGAATATATTATATTTCTATGAGTTGTTCACAACGTTTTTATTGTGAAATATAGATCTCATACGAAGAGTTGTTATCCCTTTCAGGTAGTCACTTATAATTTTCTCAACATCACATTATTTATTCTCAGTATAATATTCATTGCAGGAAGAGATTGGGGGATGTCCGGGGGAATTGTCCAAATGGGAATTGTCCCGTTAGTAAGGGTGTATCGGTAACTGAATTTTGAGCAATCCAGTCACGTTGCATGTTTCCACTTGTAGCTGTCACACAATACAACGGATGGCCATTCTTGGACGATAATCGCTGCATCATATTTTTTTCTAAAAGCTCAAACTGCCAATAGACATCTGCTGACTAAAATAACTGACAATAGACATTGGCCACGTCGATACATGGCTGATTGGCAAGAAAAAAAGCGAAATCTCACGCTGAACAGTGTATTTCGATATTTACATATACTGCAATATGGTCCAATATAATCCGCCGGACAGACACATCTAAAAGACTCCTCCATCTCCACACAGGTGCCTCCGTTCTGACATGGGTCTGAGGCACATAAACTTATATCTGCAAAATGAATAGAACCTCATAACAACATATACGGCTGTTGCACTAGTTAAGAAAAATACAAAATGTACAGGTATATCAAGGAGCCATACAAAAAACATGCACATAAACATTATCATAGGATATTGCAGACTGTAAATAAACTTCTGACAAATATTTTTTTTGTCTTGAGTCATGCCTAACCACACCAGGCAAAATTGAGGCCCATCACTGGAAACTAGCTTGAGTACCTACAAACTTCACAATGTTCTCCCAAGTATCCCGGAGGACAAATACACATGAAGGAAGGCGAGTTGCGTTTTTCTTTTAATCGGGGTCTGACCACCATGACAGAATGGTAGCCCGCTAAAAAACAGCCCGTTCCCCATTACTTTGCACACGTGACATTCGTACAAACCCTAACCCAGCTTAACTGTATATATACCTTACATATGTGACCCCAGACTTTCATTTCTAGAAATACTATAGCACACCAGCTAAACCAAGGAGTCATATTTGAGCCGGACTTTAAATACTTACACATTTCGCAATGTTCCCCGGTGTACTTGCTGGCGCACATGCAGCGGGGGCCATCAGGTAATTCTACACATGTGCCGCCGTTCTGGCACTCTATTCCACATTCACCATTACCTTAAATAATAATAATAATAATAATAATAATAATAATAATAATAAATTAATTGTAAAACAAATAATGAGATATGCCTTTGACGGCCATCTTGGAAAGCTGGGTTGCCGGGGTCAGTAAGTGCTGATGTTATAGTTTCTGCATCTACTTTTGCACACATTAACTGACAAATCAATTTTGGACGATAATTAACTGCGCTATGGAATTATCAAACATTTCTAACATACGCTAAAAAGAGTCGCTGACTAAAATTTTGAAACTTACGTATTTCACAAAATGTCCCGAAATGATATTTCGGGCAGATGCATTCGAAAGACTCCCGTGTATCCACACAGGTGGCTCCGTTGCGGCATAGGCCGGGCTCACAATCACTGACATCTGCAAAGTAGATGAAACTTCATAACAACATGTGCAACTGTTGCATTGGTTTTCTTTAATTTCATATACAGTTTACACTGTATGCATTTGATAAACAAGCGCACAAACATTGCCATGGGCAACTTTATTGTACATGTACATACATCCTTCACAAATCTCTTTTTCGCCTGACTCATGCCAAACCGTACCAAAACCGAGGTATCTCATTGAAGACGGCAATTCAGTACTTACATGTTTCACAATGTTCACCCAAGTATTTCCTGGGGCAGGTGCAAATGTAGCCTTCAGCTGTTAGTTGGCACGTACCTCCGTTTTGGCATGGGCTTGAATCACATCCGCTGATGTCTGTAAAATAACAAAACTTATCCAATGCTAATTATTTATTGTGTCTGGCAAAATATCTGCTTAAACACACGCAACGTGAGCTAGATCCATTCACTCAAATACGAAATGTACATGTACAAGTAAAACACTGTATACAGTAATGTCTGCTTTTTTTTATTTTAGGCTATGCCTAACCGCGACTATCAGAACCAAAGTAGCAATATTGTACAAAATGGAACTGAACACTTTTCTGAACTGACATTTTTCGGTGATCGTCATGATAGTTGAACACGTTGTTGGTCCCTTTTCCTCCCCTTATAGTCTATTATAGGTGGTTTTACAAGAGTTGAGATCATTAAAACCAAGTGTAATTCATAGGTATAAAATCGAAGTTGTAAGTTTTTTTTAATTCTGACTTCACTGGCACTAAAAACGAGGACATAATGAGTGTTTTTTGTCTTACATACCATCACAGGAAAGATGATGGGGTGTCTTTCCGGCGGAACTTTTTGAACCAAATATACATAAAGATAATTAAGTTCTTCTATTGCGACGATTTTAGTATTTTTGCTACACGTGCATTAGGGAAACCTACAGATAACTTTCATTGTTAGATTTACATATTCTGTCTGAGTATGGGCAGGGGCAGATACATACTGTTTTGAAGGGGGCGTCCGGGTGTTTTGGGGGATTGACACTCACCCCCTTGGCGTCAGGTCTGGGGTGTTTTGGATGGCAAATGGCGTCATTTGGTATGGATTAGAACTTAAGAACTATTCGTTTTTTATCAGAAATCGAAAGGGGTCCGTAATCCACCACTGATGGGTGCATTCATAACAGCGATTATTAAAGTTATTCAAATATTCCAATTATTATTGGGTTATTTTAACCGTTTCAAACTTTTGTTCAAACAAGCAAAGACAAGATGATAAGTCCTATTAGACCCCCTCTACTGTGGTATGACCAAGGGTATCCATGCCACAAACTTGATAGACACAGACAGAGACAGAGACAATTAAAAATTCTCCTAAATTTAGTTACCATAAAAAAACTTTCTCCGTAACTGGTGTATACAGGGTTACCACTTAATATGGAATATTATATTTTGGCGAGTAAATTTTCTACAAAAATATTTAATTTCTCTCTAACTATTTTAAATTCAAAGCTGAGGTGTCACTCCATGTGTAGCCAGGTGTGTTACCTAATTACCACAAAACTCTCGAAACAACTGATGCATGCAGTTGCATGTTCTGTGGTCAGAAATGTGAGGGGTGGTGTTTTCAGCAATTTCTGCCCGTGTATAAAAACGCATGGGTTTGGCCAATCTTTGGAGTGTATTTAGAAAAGCAACAAAGGGATCGCTCTGAAACTTGACAGGTACCTTAGAGAAGATATGGTTCGACAGCTATGCAACGCAGCCTGCTGTGGGATTCTTGCTTTCAGAGAAAATGGCCAGAAACGGACAGCCATTGCCAGGCAATGCAATATTTATCAGGAACCGTTAGTAAAGTCCTCCAAAGAAATGCTACAACAGGGGCACCTACTCCAATACCTCGACCAGGGTGCCCGCGTATCACACCAAGAATACAGGATCGCCTTCTCCTTAGAGTGCGCCGTGATAGTCGTACAAAGACAACCAGTGTCCTCAGAAAAGAGTGGCAGAATGTCATTCAAATGCCCATTTCAAGGTCCCTCGTGAACAAGAGATTACTGCAAGCCGGTTATTTTACACGAACACCAGTACTGAAACCACTGTTAACAGCAGATCATATACAGCGACGTCTGCAATGGGCTGGGGACCACGTGCGTTTGCAGCCAAACCACTGGAATCACGTTGTTTTCGGTGATGAGGCTAGAAATGGATTTTTTAGGGTTGTTGGTCGAATCCGTGTCCACCGACGTGTACGAGAGGCATAACACAATGATTGTGTACCGCCTAGGGTGCAAGCAGGGGGTGGTAACGTCTCTGTTTGGAGAGCATTTCATGTCAGTGCCCAGAACCAGTTGGTTTTTCTAGGAGGCAGCCTCATCCAGGATTCCTACAGAGACATTCTACAGCTAACAATGCTTCGATTGGTAAGAGTCATCTTCAGGAACAAATTTGTGTACCAAGACGACTGCGCAACCCCACATCGAGCCCACAGAATCACTGTTTTTCTTCAAAACCAATGGGTTCAGCAACTGCCCTGGCCTGCAAACTTGCCAGATATGAACCCAATTAAAACACTTTGGGCAAAAGTAACTCACAGAATTAATAGCTATGGTCATCGGCCAGTAAATAGCAATGAACTGCAACAGGCAAATATCACTGCGTGGAATGATATCCCCATCCAAACTCTAAAAAACGTGTCACAGGGTATGCCATATAGGATGAGGGCGCTGCAAGCGGCTGCTGGAGGTCATACCCGCAATTACTGACTTTTCATGATTTACTGTAGTGAGTTCTTTGACTGTGTAACATACAACTGTCCGGAGGCTATAAATTTCTTCAATATCTTAGCTTAAAGTTAAAACTGACAACAAACTGTTGATATGGTTTTCTGGGGGTGTCCCTTTCTTTTGAATGGCATCTTATGTCAGATTTAATATCATCGACCAAAATATCTCACAACAGAAGACTGGATGTTTTTATCACTCAGTGACATACTTTTTTGATGAATCAAGCCAAATAAAACTTAATCAGCACTCAAAAGTAAAAATGATAAAAATATTCCATATTAAGTAGCAACCCTGTAAATGCAATGGCAGGTGCATAAGAGGCGCTAGAATGCGTTGTATTAATGTTGCCTTTGTTTACTTCTGTAATATTTCTAATTTTTTAGATAAATACTTAAATTGATATTTCTGAAAGTTTGTGAATAGTCACTAAGAGTGCATTCCCATAGATTTAGACCAATTCATCTAGATCGATCGAATTTCAATTTGTGAATTTTGCGGGGCCGGTTCCACTTTCAGGCCTACCCAACTACACTGTACCAGACTCGGCACATAAGGATCCTGAATTAACCGGTATATCGGACCACACTACCCGTTTTCAAGATGTGTGTCAGATCGCATTTCGGAGTATCAGTCAGAACACCGACAAGATGAGCCCATGCTCGGCTGTCACCTTGATTGGATTGTAAACGATTGTCGTAAAATCGCTGTATGATTTTAAAACCGGGTGCATTAATTTGAAAACCACCTAGAACAACCTTAGACTGCCGCATTAATCTAATACAATGCAAAAAAGCCCTATCAAAAGTGGTTAAAGCATTCAAACCGAATGTCGTAAAGTCCCAATGAACCCCCTAGAGTACTCGAAAGTAAGAGTACAGTCTAAGGTTGTTCTAGGTGGTTTTCAAATTTATGCACCAGGTTTTAAAATCATATAGCGATTTTACGACAATCGTTTACTATCCAATCAAGGTGACAGCCGAGCGTGGATGAGCCCGCAGTTCTGGGGTATCATACTCCGAAATGCGATCTGACACACACCTTGAAAACGGGTAGTGTGGTCCGATATACCGGTTAATTCAGGATCCTTATGTGCCGAATCTGGTAGTTGGGTAGGCCTGACTTTGCCACGGCCTTCTATGTGCATATAAAGTAATGACCGCACTTTAAGTTATCATGTTTACCTTCAGTTTCTCCCGTGGTAGTGGTTACCTCTGTACTTGTTATGGGTAGTGGTGTTGTCGTCATAACCATTGCAGTCACATCTTCAACTAACTTAGTGCTTACGTAGAAAATAAAGATGAGATTAAAAACCTGCGCCATGGTTGCACACCTCTCTCTCTCTCTCTTCACCTTGGCAAAGTGTATTTATAGTTCATTATAAAAAGCTCAGATATAACCATTTGTTACTATGTTCCGATTGGCTCATCCTTCTTGCATTATCGCACTTTAATGTTAATTAAAAGAAAGTCAGGTGTTTATGCACGTACATTTGAAGAAACATCCATAAAAATATTATTGAAATAGGAATATGAAAAGGTGAGCAGTTCAGTAGGCGCGTGTCTTCATAAGGTCTATGGTCGTCATGGCGCCCTTCCTTGTCAATGTATACATCATGATTTTGTTATTTAACAGGGCAGAATAAGTCATCTAACGTGAAGCCAGGTGTCATCCAAGCACGATTACAAGGTTTTCTGGTCGGTGACGGAACAGTACGAATATACATGTACATGTATTCCCCTTAAAGGCAGGCGCGGTGATTAAGACCTTAATAAAGCAAATTTTAATTTTACCGGACATTTCAAGATTTTTTTTTATAATTTAACTATACCATGTCAAAGATGAAAAATACGCCTGCGATAGTACAATCCATAACCGTTTTTCTCTCTTTCAGCTTATAGTTTTTGAGTCACTCTCGTCATGTGGATTGTTGGTGGTATATTCAACTCGTGATATGATTACAATCAATATTCTAATTAAAACTCACAAACAAGTTTGTAAATCTTAATTTGCTTAACACGTTCATATTTAGCATTCCTTGATAACGAATGAGAAAGTTCCGGTGAAATTCATCCTTTGCTGTAAAAAGGTGTCGTATGCAATGTTTGTCTTTCAAGAATAAAATATGTTTTCATGACAAAGCGGGTTTTATCTGTGTTGATCCCAGGCACACCACTATTACCTACCCTCTACCAGGGTCACAGATAATTCGTGCAGAAAAGAGCTATCATTTATCCAAAGACATTATCTGTGAATATCATTGGATATATCATTGAGTATTTATCTGTGAATATCATTGGCAAATAAGCCCTGTACAGTATGGAAAATTAATGGGTTTGCTGCTACCTGAGCTCTTTTAGCTAAGTTGACAAACATGAAATAAACCGTTAACTACACGGAAGATTTACATGGAGTCTCTTTATACCGATTCTAGGCATTAACAAAATGAAGTTGTCAGAAGTTGAAGTTTTTGTATATTTTAAACAATCCAGTAAACTTAAACCACATAGTTATATTCTGTGTCTTTGCTGCGTATTGATAATTACCCATTTATGTCGGTAAAACGCTGCATCCCGCGCTTGATTAGTTTATGTATTAAGGCCACACTTTTTTAATTTTATGGATGACATCCTGCGCGCGCACCGATTTTCGTCCGTTTACCAAAAAAAAAAAAAAAAAAAAAAAAATCCCCCCCCCCCCCCAAGGAAGTCGGTTGTCGCAAACGTCGTGATTGAATTTGCCGGAAAATGCAATCGGCAATCCTCGGCTAATTCCGCAAGCTCCATGCTGTCATTGTCGACTGCGGAGACATCCGAGTAGTTCCGAGTGCGGAAAATGAGCTTTCTGCGCATGCGTATTATCACCACGTGAAAATATGGCCGCTTTGCCGTCAAATTCATCTCTAGCATTAATTTCAAAATACACGACAATTAAAGTCATAAAGAGAACGGGGGCCGTCGTTTTGGATTGGTTTGCCATTGATATTGGACATGGAGATATCACCTTTTTACAATTATACGAAAGGCTGGCCGCGGCCAGCGATCATCGCCCGGAAAATTTCAGTGACATTCTGTCCAAAGCA